ATACTGTATATTAAGTCTTAAGAGTCTGTAGAGTGTTCTCTTAGACATTTTGTGACTTGAAATCTTGAAGGGACTAAAGACATAGTTTTGGAATTGTTTTATTACCGTGTTTGACTTAAATAAGAACCTCAACCAATCTGAAAAGGAAAAAGTTTATTATAATATATTATTTTATTTTTTTACACATGGGACACAAGCCACAGCAAAGCACATAAGCATACATAGAAAAATAGTAGAATCATATTGGCACAGATGATCTTTTGTTAATATAGATAATATCTGTTAAACAAAATAAGTAAATAAATTAATTAATACATGTTACGATCTCACAGTGAATTCACTTTTTTACATTCATTACTCAATTTACAGGAGGAATTGTGTGAAATATGAACCAGATAATAGCAGACAAATGATAATACAATAATGATAAGGATTCACGTTACAAACCATTGTTTTATAACAATTCAAGCTGCCTGGGTAGTAATAAGTACACCTCTGATGAAAAACAACATAATAACAATAGAACAAATAAAATACAGGTACTTATATAAGGAACTTACAGAAATCCATATTGAAAGCTGGCAATTGTGGAGAAGATATTATAATGAGAATGATGACATCATTGGATATTAGTTTAAATAAAACAGGTTTCGATTTCAGGATCTAATTAAAATAATGCTATATTGAAAGTGAGACTTTTAAGGTTGAAAAGAGCAAAGGCATAGTTTGAAACTTTCTTCAATTCAGATTCTTTTAAGACTGTTTAAGCCTATTGTTAAATCCATCCATTATCAGAAAGCCTCTGACTTCTACCAGTTTCTCTAATAGTGTTCCTTTGCTTAAATATAGAACTTGTTACTTGTTGAGAGATACAGTAGCTGACAAAGTGATATGGCATTTCTAGTCAATTATTATTCTTTAATTTTTCAACATCATATCCCAATCAATATTTTCAACGCTGTGCAATGTAAATAATGATACAGTATGTATGAGCTGTTAGTTTTATAGTTTAAAGATTACAATGAACCAAATATTCAAAAAGAGTTTTAAAAAATTTAGTACTTTCTTGATTTGAAAGACATTTTTTAAAGTAAGTGTTCCTGATCATTATGAACTTTAAAATACCTTGTATTTATTTTTGACTTTTTCAGTTGATGTCATATCTTACAGTAAAAAAGTCAGAACAAATGTATCTGGGTATGTTGTGTTAAGAAATATATTTAATGTTTCTGAACCATAATGTTAACACATCTTTGCAAACATTTTACATAATGACAATATACAGATGCAAACATGATTCTTCAAAAACATCTATTTTCTATCTCCTAGTTACTCTTGCCCATTTATTGTGATTTGTTGATATATTAAATATTTTTGCCTGATACTATGCTTCTCATTGTAAAGCTTCTATAATTTAATGAAAAATTATTTTAATTACTTCGGGCTAAACAATATAATTTACAGAAAGGCTAGCATTTGTTCTTTAACAGAACAAAAATACACCTTAAACTTTTTTACAGCTTTAAAAAGTCTCATGATTGATGAGGCATTCCAGTTGAAATTCAGAAATTTCTTACATACAGTACAGTAAAGATAACAGAGTCCAATACAAGCACCTAAAGGAAGCCGTTCAAGTCAATCACAATGACACATAATTTACAAAGCAATGTTGGTCCAAACACGAAGAAGAATCTAAATAGGAAGAGTACATTCAAATGTCACCTTAACATACAGTATGTTTTCAGGAATGTCACCTGAAATAAAGTTTAAACAATTTTAGCAAAATAATGTGAGAAATGGCAGGTTTTGTTGTAACTTCTGAAATATGATTCAGAAGCTTCGGATAGACCCCCAAATATGGAGTAAATCTGTGGCTAAGGACTGTGTATTATTGTTTTTGTTTTGATCTGCTTACTGAGGGAAGAACAGCACAACTTTAAGGATGATAGTAGTGGAACTCCCACTCAGAACCCACTAGAATGAGCCAAGACCAACCTGAAAAGGTAGTGAAGAAATGGGGGAAAGGAATATGAAGTGAAGAATGCTGGGGATAGACACTTTTACACATTTTATAATTAACTGGGCATAATTCTGTGGTTTGTCTTTTTCCTTGAACATTTGTTTTAGAAAACTATTTAATTAAAGTGAGAAATGTCAGTCCAATTCTTCATTTGTTAGCTGCTCTTCAGCATAGCATACTTAGTGGTATTAATGAGTACTGGAACCAACAGCATGTGTTGTATTTGTAAGCATGCACGGCAGATTTGTGTGCACACAGTACAGGATGTAATATAGGAAGAAAGCACAGAGGTGTGGAAGAATTTTAACAAACTAACAAGAAAAGGCAAGAAAACAGTGCGTGAGACATTTTGGTTTGATCAGAGAGTTACAACAATAAGTTATCACAAAATAACTGTGCACTCTGTCTCAGTCTCAAAGCACCAGTTTAAAAGAAAGTTCTGGATTAATTGAAGTCTAAATTGGAACATTTCTGGAATGATTTCGTAGGTGTTTCGGAAGATTTTGTTTTTGCCTGGATCTCCGGACAGTAAACATTAACATGTTTAAATTATGCATCAGTTCATTAGAGAATGTACAGTACAAAGCTCTTGGATAGTGATTTAATATGGAAATTAAAGTTAATTCTATACTTGGGAAGAGGTCTTTTTTTTCATTAAACATGAAAAACGGGTTAAACAACAATACAATACTGAATATGGTTAAAAATGTAAAAGCATAAATAAAGCAATGAAAAGATGGATAGAGATGGACCACATTCATCCACTTACTGTAAGTAACAATTTGTGTCATACTGTCAAAGTTTATTAATGTGTCTACTTCTCTTGGTATCAAGAAAAAAAGGCTTTAACAATTTATTCTTTTATTTTACATAAAATGTATATTTTATAATTATAAGATGAAATTATTAACTCCTTGTATTGAAAAATGTGTATTATCAAAATGTAAACATTATTTGGCAAAAGGAAATGAAAATACCTGGACTAATTTTAACAGCAGTCTCTAGTGGAATCCATTTACTGAAGTGCAATGCTCTGTTAATTTATTTTCTTAATGTTATCTTATTAGCCATCATAATACATTTCATAAAGCCTTTTTGATGTTCATTTTCCAGAGTAGCCCATTTTGAGAGATAAAACAAAAATGCTAAAAATATTCTCATAAAGTTAACTTTAGCTTGTTTCTTTTTTTTAGTTTTACTGATATGCATTCAAAATTTACACTATTTAATGTCAACAAAGTTGCTTTGAGACAACAAATAGAAAATCTAGATGACAATATTAAGATCAACTCAAACGTCAGGAATAACAATTGTGACTGTTATTTTTTAAATGGTGTTTTATCTAACCTAAAAAAGAGACACAGGAATATACAGAACATTATGAAATTATGATATTGCATGATATTGGTTACCATGTGTGCTTCTAAGTAAAACAAAACAAAACAGTTGCTAAAATATATGAAGCTTCCACACTGAGGGAGCTTTTTTCTGTCACATACCTGTCAGGCAATAGAAAATGAAATAATAGCTTGCAATCATTTTTGATCTTCTTGTTTTATTTTTTTTAGCAATTAATATCAGTGTTCTTTCATGCCCATGGTGTGAGCTATAAAACTGTAGGTAAAGTACCCACAAATATTTTAAAGCAATAGTACCCTCAATCAATATTTTCCACAAATCTGAACTCTTTAGCCTTTTAAAAGTTTAAGGCATTTAAGGGTTATTGTAAGTAAATATACTAATGCATCTCACATGTATTGTAATAGATGTACATGAAATTAGAAAGTATCGCTTTTTATGAGTATAATACTTCCATTTATGATTTGGCTTGATTATGTCATTATTATACTACATAATGAAATGTTGTGTAATATATAGGATTCTAAATAAAGTACATACATATGTTTATGAGTTATAAAGATTAAAGAGCTAACAAAAGATGGTGTTCATTAATAAATGTCCACTAGTTCATAAAACATTCCACTGTAAAATTCTGCTACATTACCCACCATTTTATTCTTATTAGTTTTAAATTATGATCTCCACCATTTTTTTGTATTATTATTAGTTATACAGTACAAGTAGTTTTAATAAAATGCCAAATCAAATAGTTCTATGTATATTCTACCCTAATATTAATCTAATGTTACTTGTGAAATAATTGTAGCGAATATTCAGGTACTCCAAAAATTAACTGTAAGAGACATCCCGGTTTTCTTAAAGAATCAAGTACAGTAAATTGGTATTGAGAAGAATGAAGGTTCAATAAGAATAATATATTTTATAGTATGTACTTGATATTAAATAACTTGAATTATTTTAATTAAAGTCTTGAAATATCAATACTGTAATACATATAAATCAGATTGGTTGCAAAATGCCTATCAAAGGGGAAAACTTTAATTAAAAAATGTAAAACTGTAATTTTATTTTCAATGTTCTTTCTTACTGTACCATACAAAGTTACGAAGACAACAAGATAAGGATATTTTCTCATCTATTATAACTTACATAATTTTTTTTACAGTATGTGCATGAAAATGATTGCTTTAAAGCTAATTTTTATAAATGTATTATGACTATGTACAGACTCTTGGAGACAGTCCATTTCTGGACGAGTTAATTTGGGATATAAACTGGATGATTATAACTGAGAAAAATCCTATTTGAAATAATTAAGTCCAGCGACCAAGAAAAATTTCTCCAAGAAAAGCTCAGAATCTAATACAGCAATGTGAGCAGCCCGTCCAATCAAAGTATTGGCGGTATTTGGCAGAGCATGGAATACATTCTGACGTATCAGTGTACAGTCCTTGGCGTCCAACAAGGGCTGAAGTAGATTATTTATCATCTCTGTATATACTGGACCTTAAAAAGAAGAAAATAAGTCTTAAAATTTATCATTGAATTTTCTTTCATGTTGTTTATCCAAGGTATGTTGTGCTGGATAACATTTACCAGTGAATCACTTTATCCAACTATTACTCATAAGGATTTGCTAGATTTGCTAACTCATCTAGAGCAGCTTCTTTTTTTTGACTGGTAATGTTCAGTTATAATTTACTACAACATGCAATTCATAATAACAATAAATGCCATTGAAGGTTTTAAAGTGTGACCTATATCGAGGCTTACTTGTTTATCGTGATGTTGATTTTCACAGATTAGAATG